ATAAATTTTGGGCAAATGCCAAATATTTTATCATCCAAATATCATTGCTACAGTAATTTCAGGTGTATATTTATATAGTAATCTTTGGAATTCTGAGAGGATGGGAAACAGCTGTGCTTTTATCATTCTGACTGCTCTCCCTGGTTAATACTGGGCTTTGTTAGCTGCTACAGACACAGTATTGTGGATTAATTCTTCCTCCCTTCCCACTATTTCTACCACATTTTGGTAATAAACATCAGTGAAAATACCCCATGTAAGGATTTCTGACTCATGTTTGATTATATGTAATTCTGTTAAAGGAAATAGGATGGGGAAATTGGGTTGGATTGTCTCTTATTAACATTATTTAGCTAACCAAACTTTTCTTCAATATATCTGCATTGTGTACCCACAACATCCCATGGATGGAACGCATTAGTGGGAAATCTCATTTATTATATAATGTACTATGCCTTTCTGGATTAGATAGATTTAAAATGTTACAAACATCAGATGCCACTTAGAGCAGTTATCAATGGTTGTTAACTTATCCACATTTATTTTCAGTGAGTGTCATAACTCCACAGATCGAATCAAAGTCAGAGTGTGGGATGAAGATGATGACATTAAATCCAGAGTCAAGCAACATTTCAAAAAGGAGTCAGATGATTTTCTGGGACAAACAATTGTAGAAGTGAGGACCTTGAGTGGAGAAATGGATGTCTGGTACAATTTAGGTGATTATCTTTATATCTACTTGAAAACAAATTAAATAAAATTCCAGATTACCTGTAGCATGTATTATACTCCCATATAAATAAAAATAGCCAATCCCTTTCTAGAACATTCTGTTGGACTTTAGATGATTAGTTTCATGGGCAAGTAAAGACTACTATTAATTTAAATTCAGTATTATTGAAAGGCTTTGGTAAATGAAATGAGAAAACCCTTTCGAAGAATCAAGTAAATATCTTTTAGGAGAAAAAAATTATTTCATTCTTAATTTGTAATTCATAAAATATAGCTTCAAAAACCTTTGTTGTATGTGTTGGGAACACATAATCAACCTATAATTTAATGCTGTTTGACTTATTCCAGTCCATTAATGAAATTTTGGCAATAAAGAAAAAATGTATTTAGGATTTCTTTCAAATAATGATATAAAAATAGGCTTCAGTTGGTAAAGCCAAGAAAGTGTGTGGACTTATGCTGAAGCTGATGATGAAGACATTGAGAATATGTTTAATTGTCATGATTTTTTAAATGAAATTTTATTATGGAACCAGA